TGGGAGGGAGTTGATGATGGCTGGTGGGTGGGCTGGGATGGGGTAAAGGGCAGAAAACTGTACTTGAAAAACATTTAAAATCAAAAGAACTAGATGAAATGTACATTGAAAACTAATCAACACTGCAGAAATAGGAGTATAAGAAATGGTTTTAAGTAAATACATGCAAGAAAATTGGCTAATCTGAACAAAATTAATAAATTCCTAGAAACACAATCTTCCAAAACTGAATCAAAATGAATCAGAAAATCTTCCTTTATTCTTTGTTGTTTTTGTTGCTTTTCAAGTAGGGTTGCCTGCATTTACCACCTCCCCCACTCCCCACGTAAATAGCCATACCCATCTCCCTGTTCTGATTCCACACCCTCTTGTTTTTGTCCATGTGTCCTGATAGTTTATGTAAACACTTCATACTTTTCTCCCATTATTCCCTCCCACCTTCCTCTGGTTACTGTCAACCTCTTCTCAATTTCAGTATCAACGGTTGTATGTCCCATGCTTATCTGTTCTCTTGATTATGTTCCAGTAAAAGTTGAGATCGTTTAGTATTTGTCTCTCACCAGTTGGCTTATTTTACTTACCATAATGCTGTCCAGTTTCATCCATGCTATCACAGAGGGAAGTAGCCCCTTCTTTCTCCCTACTCTGTACTGTTGCATTGTGTAAATATACCATAGTTTTTTTAAGGTATTATTTATCTTTAGAGGGGAAGGGAAGGAGAGAAAGAGAGAAATACCAATGTATGGTTGCCTCTCATGAGTCCCCTGCTGGGAACTGGCCTGCAACCCAGGCATGTGCCCCGACTGGGAATCCAAGTGTGATCATGTGGTTCCCAGGCCCGCGCTCAATCTACTGAGCCACACCAGCCAGGGCTATACTGTAGTTTTTTTTTTATCCATTTATTTACTTATGCACTTCTAGGACTTGACATTGGGAATTATGCTGCTATGAACATTGTGGTGCATAGGTTTTTCTGGATTGGTCTTTCAGGAATCTTAGGATATAATCCCATCATTGGAAATGCAGAGTCAAAAGGCAGTCCACTGGTACTTATCTGAGGAAACTCCATACTATTTTCACAGTGGCTGCACCAGTCTGCCTTCCCACCAACAGTGCATTAGGGTTCCCCTTTCTCTACATACTCTCCAACACTTGATGTTTGTTGAGTTGTTTATGACGGCCACTCTCAACAGTGAGAAGTACTATCTCATTGTGGTTTCACTTTGCAACTCTCTGATGGCTAGTGATGCCGAGTACCTTTACACCTGCCCCTGAACCTGAAAATTGGATTTGAATAATTAAAACTAATGAAGTTGAAACAGTAAACAACAATAAAAAATTCTTCAAAACAAAAGGGTGGTAAGCAAGTTAGCTGCCTTGGAGTTGTGGCAACACCTCGCAGCAGCACTGGTCCTCTCTGAGCATGTGCAGATGCATGGTGTGGGGGAAGGGCAGGAAGTATAATGGTACTAGAAATATCAAGACCAATGTGAGGCCACCTTGGAGAAGACATAGAGCAATCTCATGCACACGGGGCACTACCATGATGTACAGAGCTGGAGACAGAGTGGCCATAGCTCTGTGCAAATATCTGGGCAGGAGATCAGCACTCTTGTTCCTTATGTAGAGTTCACTGGCTATGTGAGAGAACAAGATCTTGGGTCACAGAACACTGCATTGCAAACCTGAGAGTCTCCTAAGCACAGAGTCTCCTTGCTTAGGAATCAGAAAAACTATTTGAAGGGCAGCATTGAAGAAAGAGCTTCCCCCAGTGCTGTGCCTACACTGGTATAATGGAATGGAACTCTCTGGGCATGGGGTGGAATATTCATGGGAATGATGGGAGTCAGCCTTACACAATAAACTGGAGCAGGCCTGGGTTTCCAAGGGAACCTGGACAGAAGTAGAGGGTCAGAGAGCTTCCTCTTCACTGAGCAGAGACCACCAGTGGTGGTCAGCCCACTCCTTGCACTGAGGAGGAAGAGAAAGCCCTCTTCTCATTCTCACTCACATTACTGAATTACTGATGAAATCTACTATATTCTCCATGGCAAAGACATTCTGAAGGACATTGCTGATCACTTCACCAGGTAAAACTGGGAAGTGATGGGAAACTGGGAGAAAAGCCCATACAGGAACATGAAAAGTAGTTACCATTGGCCTGTAGCCCTTGTAATAAGGGAGGGGGTGGGGGCAGGGCAGGGGTGCTGGAGCAGTGATGCCTGGTAAAGATGATGGGCTACCAGGCTGGCCCTGGCTTAGGTAGCTATATCTGCTTCCAGCTCTCTTATATGTCGACACCAAACTGGGTAAATTGTGTGCCTTTCTGTCAGACCAGAGCTGGCAAGGGAAATGCAGATCTCACAGCATCTTGTGTGCTGTATCTTTGCCAAATCATTGGCATCAATTGCAATGGCTTTGTGATGGATGAGCCTCCTTCAAGACCTTCACTTTCACAAAAAGTGCTTTTTGTTCGTTATCCAGGTCTCCAGGCCCCCTCCAGCTTTCATGTGTCAACGCTGGCTTTACAGGATGGTCCCAGTGGAGGAGAGTGAGGCTTCTGGTGAAGAATGTATTCTGAGGAAGCAAGGTGAGGGTCCAGAGGAACCAGGGCTGTCCTCCTGATGTTGACCTACATTATTTAGGTCAGGCTGCATCCTAGGAGTCGGAGAGGGACATCCCTGCTGTTCAAAAATCATAGTGCAAATCAGAGTGCTGTAAAATAAGGGGCTATTCACGTAAATTTTGTAAATGTGTACAGTAAGTATGAATACTTATACATATTTTAAGAAGCAGTCAATATACCAAACTTTAAAACTTATAATACAAACACCTACTTCAAAATATCTGTGACCAGGAAGGAATGTTGTTGTTCTGGCCAGTGAGCAATGATATAAGCATTGACTGCCAGATGACAACCTCAGGGTCATGTAGGGAAATTACTAATCATGGTTATTAGGGGAGTTGAGGTTGTGGGCAAGGGTGGTACTGGTTTATTTTATATCTCTTCCTTATATCAGACATTTTATCATGCTCTGTGGGTTTGTGAGTGAGTGCTAGGTGGGGGGGTGTGCTCCCAGGGGTCTGGACTTGAAACACAGCTGAATGAAGGTGGTATCTTTAACTTAATGGGAATTTTGATGCTGTGGTAAAGACACTAGAGACTTGGTTGCTAGTAATTTCTGAGGCTGAGCAGAAACTTTTGGTTCAGGTAGGTGGTGGAAAGGTAAGAAATAAAGGAGATGAGCAACTCATGGGGCTTTGAGCCTTGGCCAGGACCCTTGCAAGGAGAAAGTGAGATTTCTCCTGTATGGAGAAAGTGTCTTGTTACATAAATGGAGTATGCGCAAGGATATATGTCCTTTATTATATTTTTGTCCTGAAAGCCCAATTTATTTTTAGATGTAGGTTATGCAGAAAGAGAAATCTCACATAATGCTTTGTTGAAATTCAGTATTGGGATAGTGCTACGCGATGCCCACAAGAGAAGCATAGGCCTTAGTGATAGCCTGGAAAACATTTCCCAGTCATCTTTGCAATGGCCACAAACTAGTGTCTGATTCAGATGTGTGCAGCTAATTAGCATATCTAGATTTGGGAAATGCATACCTATCAAAACCCTGATTTTTTTTATCATCTTGCAGTCAAACGTTCTGGGGTGGTTTTCAGAAGGAAAGAAAGGGTGAGTATTTCCCAAAATCTGTTGACAAGAAATTCTTCCCCATGGGATCAAATGCAGGTAAGAGTAGGAACATGCCATGAGTTTCCAACATATGGAAAGGTTTGCTTTTATGTATGGTATCACTGTAATGGTGGTAGTGCATTCCAATCTATACCTCCTCTAATGTGCTTCAAATTTTGTTTAGATGATCACAGTTTTATGACCATATGCCATCATATGCGTGTACCGCTATATAATTAAGCAGACTATTTCAGCCAGTTATTTTTTCTCTGACTGAGGGCAGATTGTCGGTGTAGAAGCTAATGATACAGTGAATGGTCCCACATCGGGGGACATAGGATACCCAGCATAACAGGGCCCCAGTCAAAAAAAAAAGTACCTGACATTCCTTCAGAGCATCATGTTTCATGATTGAAAAACAAGTAATTGAATGCTCTAAGGACTTCACAGAGGTTACACGCTACTCAGAGAAAACTTATTCATCTGCAGCTGACTTCCGATGGGCAGCCATGTAGGAAGAAGTAATAGCTTCTTCCTTTGAGTGCTAATTAGGCCTGAGTCATCTTTGTCTTTGGAGTCCTTTGTTAACCCTGCCTGGCCTCTGCATTGTGAGCTCTTTGAGAAGATGGTCCACACCTGATTCTTCTCAAAAGTCTCATGGTTGTGAGGGCCCCCTGAAAATTTGCTGTGTGAATAATCTCACAATTAAAATTTACACTAGATTTGATCAATGAACACTGAAGATAATTTATCCTTGGGGTGTCAAATATGAAGACATCTGAGGAGTAAATTGATAGCAAAACCATAATCCCACATTCAGACTGTGGTCTTAGGTTCTCACAAAGGATGTCAGTGAATATTTGTAAGTTTCATGGGCACCACAACACTCTGAATTAGCATGTTACAGATCAGGAAACCAAAGACAACTCATTGTCTGTGGTACAGCGTTATTCCAAAATAACATTGGTGTCCAACTAATGCAAGTACAAGTGGCCTTGCCAAGTTATACACATTTGTGAATTAGTGTCACTTCCATTATTGTCTACATGTTTCTGCTTGAAGTTGTTCAATTTCTCGTCATCCCATATCCCTCATTCTCACTATTGTACAGATTTTGAAAGAAAATTTTCTTAAGGCATGGGTTCTAGTTGAATTCATTACACATATAGGCCCTCTTTTTTTCCTGTAATATTCATGCTCCTGAGGTATTTCCAAGACATGTTGAAGTAGTGATAAGAACCATATATGGGGAAATACGTAATAAGAATTAAAATAAGTGCATGTGATTTATTGGTATGTGACTCTTCCATTAAAGACAATGCCCAGGATACTGTTTAGTGATGAATCTAAATTGAAGAAATTGTCTGGAAAAATAATTTTGCTGACCAGAATTGGCTCAGAGCTGGGCCAGAAACCAGTTTCTTCTCCTGGAGAAGCAAGTATCTCTGCACAACACTCCAGAAAAGAATTGGGTAAGCACAAGTAAATTGGACACTACAGTTCCTCTAAGACCTCTAGAAAGCTGATGTGTATAGCCTGGGTGTGTGGAGTGCACTGCATGTCAGCCTGTACTTACACTGAATGGAGCTGAGACTGAAATTCACAGTGTAGATTTGGGAAAAACCTTTTAAGTTGTCTGAGCTCCTAAATGCTAATGTTGAAAGTAAAACTAAGAATACATAGCTCATCTATGGTTTGAAAGCAATAAATTAAATTTAAAACAATGGACACATGCAGTTGCCTAATAAGTGCACCTATGTTGATGATATCACATGTTGTCTAGGTGTTTTAGGTACAGGCATTGGCTTCATACGTTACTCACACCATGGGCTCACAATGAGCATTTTGTGAAGGGTAAATGTTGGGAAGTAAAATTAGACAATTGGGAGGTCTAGAAATTAAAATGAAATTAGGCATATGAAGGTAGAGTGAGGTCTTGGTCTCTCTCAACCAAAATTTGACAGAGGAAACTACCAGAGAATGAGGAAAGAAGGAAGAAATTTTGATGGGAGGAAACTGTGTAATTTTGGACCAAAGGGAGACTAACACTCCACATGCCACCCACCTTGTTCACATGCACTTCTCCAACTTAGAGCAGAGGAGAAATGATACTGTCACGAAGAGGTATAGCCTACGAGAAGGAAAGGGCCATGTGTATGAAGAGGTCAGCGAGCCCCAGAATGATGACTACCTCTGTAAGTGACCATCACAGACAATAGCTTGGTGTTTCTCCGTATAGTTGTTTGGACTATAAATCATCCCTTCTCCATGTGGAGAATTCCCTTCTACCCAGAGAATGGAGTAGAGAATGGAGGTTATGTGATGTGTGTTTCTGGACTGTCTCTGAAGCTCTTCAAGTGCAGGGACAGGCCCTATAACTTTTCTATCGCCTGCTCCTTTCACCTGCAGATTGTGATACCTGTCAGGACTTCTTCATTGACAGCTGTCCTGTGCATGGACCCCCTGCGTTTATAAAAGACACTACAGTGGACAAGGGGCATCCTGATCGCTCGGTTCTCACTGTGCCCCCTGGGTTGAAAATTGGACCATCTGGCATCCCTGATGCTGGGCTAGGAGTGTGGAATGAGGTATCTGACCTGCCAGTGGGTGTCTGCTTTGGCCCTTTTGAGGGCCACGTCACACAAGATGAAGAGGCATCTAGGAGTGGATACGCGTGGGTGGTGAGAAGTGTTTTTTCCTTACCCTGTTCACTGGCTTCCCACATCACTTCTGTGGCTTGCTGGGTCCTCGCTGCCCAGGCTACACATGGGTGGGGACAATATGGACCTTGCATGACCAGGGGGGTCTTGTTTAACTGTCAGAGCAGAAGTAGGCCAAAGATGTGCAGACACAAAGGAGTGGCTTTTTCTTTTGGGGTCTCCTACTCCTCTGAGAGACACTGTCTTGCATGTGTAGATGACAAGCAAGAAAAATTCCTTGTGGTCACAGGAGGAAGGTGAATACCCAGGCAGACTGAAAGGGCTTTGATGTCAGTAGAGTAAAACAATTCTTTGAACAATTACCTTTCTGCCTAAGAATAATGAGGGAAAGACCTTTAACTTCTTTTCTACCATACAGATCACCAAAGGGAGTCATTGCTATGAATATGTGGATGGAGAGGACAAATCCTGTTCCAACTGGATGAGGTACCATCCTTATGTATCCAGGCGCCAGAGAGGCCTCTCTTGCCCCACTTGCCCATGTTTCTTTCCCTGTCATCATGCCTCCCTCAATAATTTACCTCAATTCTCTATTCATCTTTGCTCTCCACACAGTATTCCTTCAAATCAAGAGACCTTTAGAGACAAGGAGATAAAATAGAGCGTATGTCCTGAAAATAAAATCCCTATGCCGGACGAAGTTTGGACCCTAGGAAAAACCAAAGGAACCGGGAATCCCCAGGGACACTGGACTGCACTCCTATTGTCACTGACTGAGTTCCAGGTTACAGGAATAAGTTCATTGTTTGAACACATCACACCACCTGTATCCTTATGGAGGACTCATTGCAGACAAATAGGAAACAATTCCTTGTAGAAACACTTAACTGTAGTATTCTGAATGTCTGAGAAGGGCATCCCAGCATTAGTTCTAACCAGAACTGTGTCCTGAGGCCTGCATAGGAATGCTCAAGGGCCCCTTCCCTCAGAAGCTCTTGTTTAACTGCAGTCAGAGAGTGTAAACCATTAACTGTTCTGTGTTCTTTTGCTAAGACACAGAGAGATCCAAGTTCCTATGGGTACCTGGTGGAGGCAAGGGAAAAGTACCCCAGGTACAGTGTGGGGAGATTGGAGAAAGACCTGTCCAGAGAAGATGAACCTGAGCTGGGAATTGAATGTTGTGACCTAATCTGAAAGTGGAGTCTAGATTGAGCTCCAGGTTCCAAGTTGTGTTAGAAAATTGGATTAGCTTTTAGACAAGGCAGTGCTTACTGGGTTTCACAGCCACTCAGGGTGGAGCTTAAGTCTTCAATTGGGCTTTGTGAAATGGTACCAGGAAGGATGAGCACCATAGGCAGGTCATCGAGATAGGCATTCACATGACATTCTGACAGAATCTTCCACACTGAACAGAGGGTTCCCCTGGAGTGTTGTGCGAAGTAGGTGACATCAAAGCCTGAGGACCTTAGGTGTCAGTGAGGAGCTGCACCTGGTTGTGAGAGGTAGTGGGGCCTCATTGCTGTGGTCTCTTTCCCTTCATGTACCTCAATCCCAGGTATGTGAACTGTGCCCGGCATGATGAAGAACAGAACCTTGTGGCCTTTCAGTATCATGGGCGGATTTTCTACAGGACCTGCCGGGTCATCAGGCCCGGCTGTGAGCTGCTGGTCTGGTACGGGGACGAGTATGGCCGGCAGCTGGGCATCAAGGGAGTCGGTAAGTGGAAGAGAGAGCTTCTGCCTGGGACAAGTGGGGCACCACCTCCCTTACTCAGTGTCAGGAGAAAAATAGAGGGCTGTCCTTAGAAATTGTAATGGACCAACGCTGAAGCTGAGCGAAATCCACTGAAAAGTGAGTAAGTTTTCCAGTCAGCTGCTTCATCAATCAAGGGTTCAGCCCACATACCTTTTATCCTTAGGGGCAATATTTATCTTTTTAGTTTTGTTCAGTTTTTTTAAATGCATGTGCAAATATGCTTATACATATAGCCCTGAAGGGCTTATTTTCCCTGTGCAGAAAGGTTACAAGGGATAGCCAGCTTTGTGAGCAAAGCCCTCTTTCCTGAACACTTTTTTGCTGTTTTTTAAAAATATCCTTTATCTATCTAAATGAAATGTGTATGTCCATGTGGACTGAATCATCATTTTACTCAGCCTTGCATTGAATTGCTAACAGGCAAACAGGTGCTGAAGTACTCTTGAGCCACAAACAGATGAAGGAGGGATAACCAGGTGCTCGTGCTTGTGTGTGCCTAATATTGCACGTAGATTAGTGCTTGGAGAAAACAATCCCAGGACAAAGTGTCTATAGGTCACTGTGAGTGCGGGCTGGAGCTGGGGTGGGGGGAGGTGCAGTGTGGCAGATGGTCAGGATAGGGCTAGCTCAGGAGATGAACATGACCATGTTTCCTGTGAGCAAAACATTGTGACAGAGGGGCCGTTTAGTGAAGGAGGGGTATGAGATGGGGCGTCAGACTGGCTGAGTCCACTCAGGTCTCAGTCTGGATTCATAGAGCAGGAATAGGGGTCAGATAGATGCCTAGCAGCTGGCAAATGCAGTGCCTATGCTATCACCTGAGAACCCAGGGACATTTCTCAGTGAGATGAGACAATTGTACAGTCTTCAGGTGCAGACTACAGTGGGGTGTCTTGGTTAAAATTCTGTGGTGCTAATATTTGAGAATTAAATATCAGTGGCAGACTCCCTGAGAGATTATTTTGTCTGCAAGCTGAGGAGTCTGGCTGTTTGATTGGAGTTGTGTGGGAGTCAGCAAGGTAAGAAGCATGCTTGGAGAAATATTTAGAAACCAGCATGAATGTGTATTTTTTAATGGAATGTCCTCACAGGACATCATTCATTCATGGAGAATGAAATCAGGTGTAGACACTTGGTGAGATGTTTGCGGGAGAACATGATTTCATTTTATCATTTTGGAAAGGAGAGCAACTAGAGGCCCCTTTCATTGGGGACTGTAGGTAGTGTCTTTGACACTACTTAGAAAATACACATGCAAGGAAAAGGTCACTGAAGTTTCATTTATAGTGGTTGTCAAGTGGTCCTAGAAAGCCCCTAGCCTGGGAACTTTGTAGAAAAGACAGTGGGTGTGGTGGGCCTTGTGCATAAATTAAGATGACGCAGTGCATGGGAATGAAAAGGAAACTAGACTGAAGGAATCCTGTGTGAAACACACAGAGCCTGCATTGTCACCAGAAGGAGAATGGTCCTTAGGGCTGTTCCTCGATTCAGGACACAAAGCGTGTGGCACTGGCAAGCTTGTCAGCATGTGCGCTGACCACAGATTTCTCTTTCAGTACAACCAAAACGAGAGATGCACTCCTGCTCAGCCTGCCCTCGGGCCTTCTTCAGTAAGAAGTTGCTCTGCCGACATGTGAAACGCAGTCACCCCTCTAAGACTGCTTCGGGGACATCTGCAAGAAAACACCTGCAATCAGTGGAACCCTGCTCAGAGGATCACAGTCAGCAGCAGCAAGATGCTGATACCCAGAGCCAGAGTGACAGAATGAATCAAGAGGTGGAAACAGGGGCCCGATCCTTGCTTAAAAGGATCAGACAGAGGGGACGTTCAGGGGCCTGGTTGACAACACCCACTGCCCTCAAAGGGAGCTCTAGTGAGAGTGGGAATATTCTTCAGAAAAAGCCAAAGACAGTGCAGAAAGTGCATCAAGAGGATTCAGGAATAGTATTTGTGGGAGGAGGAGTGCCTAGAAGTGTAGCACTCAAGTATGGAGAATGTGGGCAAGGCTTCAATGGTAGGTCACACTTGAAGAGACACCAGAATACACTCTCCGAAGAAAGGGCCTATACGTGCAGTGAGGGTGGACCAAGCTCCACAGGGGTATCAGATGTCATCTCCCCCCAGAGGACTCATTCAAGGGAGGAAACCTCTGTTTGCAAAGACCGTGGAATGGGCTACACAGAGAAATCAGATCTGGTGGGACAAAAGAAGACACAGTCAGGGAAGAAGCCCTATATTTGCCCAGAGTGTGGACAACACTTTACAGTGAAGGCCAGTCTCAACACACATAAGAGAACCCACAAAAGGGTGACATCCTACATTTGTATGCAATGCAGGCGATGTTTCTCTTCAAAATCAGGTCTCACCTTACACCACAAGACACACACTGGGGAGAAGCCCTATGCTTGTAGGGACTGTGGACGAGGCTTTGCCCAGAAGTCGTATTTCATGAGACACCAGAAGAGACACTCAGTGAAGTAGCCCCAATTTTTCATGGAGGTCGATAAGGCATTAGCATTCAGTAGCTCCTCATGTAACTCACATACCAATGTAGCCCACACAGTTCATACCACAGGTCTGAGCAGGGTTCATACAAAATGATGTTGCCCCTTTCTGTCCCCAAGAGTGCATTCAGGAGACAGGTCACCTGTTAAACAGAGCCCCCCCTCCATGAAAAGAGATGTGATAGGCAGACAGTTCTGTGATTGGCAGGGAAATGTCAACAGCCATGTACTCCAGGTTTTTTCCACCCTGTGTTCTAATACATTCTGTTGCAACACTAACTGGAATCTCAGATACCTCATTCTCCCTATCACTGAAGATACAGAGTTCCAGGAGGACCTCAGACCAACCATATGCTCACCCATCACTACCAAACTCCTACAAAGGCCCACATGTACAGTCAATCTAGTTAGATTACTGCTCAGAGAAAGGGAATGGAGACAGAAGAATCCTGGGTACTTGGGGCTTTTGCTTCCTATTGAGTACACCCCACACTTCCCTTGGCTTCTTCTGCATCCTGTCCTCGTATGTTAAGAACTCTGAGTCTCAGTGGTGAAGGGCAGGGAGGGGCGTGTCTGAAGGCATGGATGTCAGCCAGGCTCCTTCTGGGCTCCTGATCTGTCTCATATTTTGCTTACCTTCAGAGTACACATCTCATGATTTGCAGCATCTGCACTCTGATTCATTCCTTACCATGTGTAAACATCAAAAATGCCCCTTCCCACTGTGTGACCAAAAGCAAGAATATCAACTTTTCTGGGCCAGAATTCTGCTCGGTACTGTGAAAATGGTAACAGCAGCCTTCTGCTTTGACATTTACAATTGAGGAAGAACCTGGCACAAGGGATCTGAGGTCACAAGTCTACAGCTACAATGTTTTCAGTGGTCAGGGCTCCCCGGTCTTCCATGCTGGAGAAGGGAAGATATGAATGGGGAAGTGGGCTGTGTCCAAATCCAGCTATGGAGCAGACACCACTGCTTTCTCTGCATAGATTTGGCTGCCTGGAGCAGACTGCATGAGTTTTGAGACTTCCCTCTTTGCAGGCCACCACACTGTTCCCCTGAGCCTGGGAAGCCACCTATTGTTCAAAGGATAGAGGCACATTGTACTAAATAAATCTTGTGGGAAAGCCCTTTACCCAGCCCTTGCTGAGAAATGAGGTTGGGGACAGCCTCTGACCAACCTGTGTACACCACATGGGCACAATGTGATTTTGAGACTTCACATAGCAGCTTCTGTAGTGAGTTTTCCTTCTAGCTGGGCCTCATGGATTTTAATCCACCAGAAGTCACCTTGGGACTTTCACGTGTTGCATGATTAAATCCCAGCTGGTTAATTGAAGTTCTACGGGAACACACACATACTAAGAGCAGAGCAAATATGCACAACCTTGTTCCTTCCTTGCCACACAGTCTGAGTAATGTCCACAATGTCTCAAGGGCACAGGACATGTACGAACACACTAGATGGGAGACCAGCAAGACTCAAGATGAGGACATAGTAAACATCTACCTCTGCATGTGCAAGGGTGCCTACAGCTCACTGAAGCCAGGTTTTTCTTGGAAATACACCTGCCTTCATAACAGAGCAGATGCAAACACAATCAATGAGTATCCATATCATACCCTGAGCTACCGAGACCTACCTGAGCATGTCCTACATGGATTCTGCAGTGGCGCAATCGCAAAAGGCAGACACCCAAATTCTCTGAGAGGGAAGAATGTCCTCTCTGTTCCTGTCCTGGGCCCAAGCTTGTCAAGGCTGTGTATATAAACAAGGTAGATTTCCACAGTAGGAAATCCACTGTCACTTTCTCTTCTTTTCTCTTGTATTTATGAGGAATGTTGCATTCCTCGAGTTTCTTTCTTCCCCGGAGAGCCCCCGCGAGAGAACCCTACAACTTTCCTAGTACTGTGCCTTCAGCATGAGCCATGGCAGAAGGGCAGAGTCCTGGAATAATGCTGGCAGAAGGGCCAGAGCTGAAATGCAATAGGTTGTGTAACCCACCACATCCACAGGTACAGGTCCTGGAATTCTCCAAAACTGCTGAGTGATTCAAGATGTGTTGAAATTTGTTCCAAAAAACACATTCCTACCTTGGTTACCAGCCCCAAAGATGTTCCCCAAACACTCCTTCTCTCAGTCCTGCCCTTGTGCAATCCTGCCTTCATAGTGCACAGCTGGCCTGTGTTGTGAAAGTTGTGTTGAGACCCCAGAGCTGAATCACAATGAGGCTCTTGTGTTTCATCCTGGCTTGCATAGTTCACGTGGTTCAAACAAGGTTGTGCCTGGAGCTGGGCGTTTACATTGCCCTGACACACACCTATCAGCAACTGGCAACCCATATTCCTCAGCTGGAAGAAGGACGCTCCAACCAATCAGTGAGCACGATATGTGTGGGATTCCAACCCTCTTGTCTCAAGACAGGCATTTGAGCACACTCTTCTGTCCCTGTAACGCCAGCTGTTTGGAATGTTGGTTTGAGGCACCAGGAAGCACTGCCATGCCCAGCTCTTTTCCCTGGTGTATGTGCTCCTCCCCAGCTTCTGACACCAGGCCAGTGCCAGGTGGATGCCCCTGATAATGTTTGGGAAAGAAAGATAATCTGGGAGCACCCGGAGAAGGGGAGTTTTCAGACCTCTAATTACGACATCCCCTTACCTCACATCCCTGTTAGTTTAATGTGAATGAGGGGCATTCCTCACATCCCTGTTAGCTGTCCCCACAGCTACAGCCATGTCCAACGAAGCCCTGTTTCTAGATGATTAAACAAATGGCTTTGATGTTGTTACAATTATTGGATTAAGTTTACTGCTTATGTCATTTCACATGTAGTGTTAACATGGGTTTTAAAAGAAATAATATGGCACTTCAGATTTCCCTGATGATTTGCATTGCCATGCTGCTTGTTAATAGTGAAGATGTCCATTTCCATGCCCTCGACATCTTTAGACACCACCAGAATGCAAGGCACAGAAACAGACACAGCCACTGATGAGAATAACTGCAGTGCGACTACAGCTCACATCACTGGTGCCTCAGCACATCATCATATTTCTCAATACATGGTCAATCCCAGTGTACTCTTTTGTTGTTCTGAAACACACAGCAAAAGAGGACAGGTCACTGTGAAGAACTCACTGTACATTTGTCCCAGCTCATGGGTGCAGACACCAGCCCACGGCAGCAAAATTTAGGAAATCGGGAAACACACCAGCCAATGAGAGCAATCCCTTGGCATATTTCTTATGAAACCATTGTGCCTTATACTCTTTGGTGTTATGATCTTTTTCATAATGGTACTCTTTCCCAACAATGTCTAGTTATACACATCTGGCCAAAGGCACCAAGGAGAATGAAAACACCATGAGTCACTCCACAAGACTTACTATTTCATCAGACCTGCCAGGTCCTACAGTCTGATTATCCCAAGTGCAAAAAACAAAGCTCATATGCAGGGACTTTTATTGAGGAGTCCTCAGAAGAGGAACATGTCAGTTCTCAAAGACTGATGTAGGTCACTGTGGGTGTTCAGAAAGGACAGGGAGCCTTCAGGCATACTGGTTAAGAAGACTCAGATGACAGACCTGTAGGGCAGGGCTGCCATGTAGCTGTGAGGTACACAGCCAGATCAACTGACAGTCCTCATACTGGTATTTGGCCTTGTGAGAAGTGGAGATGTGCTGTAGAGCCAGGTCAGGCCAGCAATGTATCAGGCATCGTGCTCTTTCTCAGAAGTCACCGAATGTAGCCACGCTGGTCCTTCCAGACTCAAGCATGTAGAATTATCTTGGGGCCCCTTGAGGAAGAGAAATTTCAAGTTAAGCAGAACCCATTAGTCCTCTGGATAATGATTCACTTGGCCCCTTGGTAATGCATGCCCTATGTTGTAGTGCAACACAGGAGTTCAGAAGAAATCTGAGGGGTTGTTAACTGATTTTCAAGGATAATTTGTGACCACAGTCCAGGACCCCTAGTAAATTCTCAGGGTCTTCTTGGTTTTCACACACTTATACTATTACAACATCAACAGCGGTCTCAATCACCTGTTCTATTCCAGCATCTGGAAACCTCTCAAACTTCTGCAGTGCAGTACTAGAATCTGTGAAGTGATCAGCAGTCACCGTCTCTCTTTGTTTTCTCCCACCAGCACATCATAATATCTTCAATGATCTCAAACAAACACTTGGATGATCAGCAGCATCTTCAGGGTGTTTGAACATCAGGCATACCCAAGTGTTTCCATGTTCCCAAGCAATCGGTTGATAGGCATCTCTTTGTTCTCAATTATCTTTACTGCCCCAGTGTCTGCAATATTCCAGCCTTTTCCATTTTCACAAACACCTGAGCCCTGTCAAGGTCTCTATGTTTAAAAAACACCATGGTTTAATCCAGCGCCAGCAATGTTTTCAAACGCTTGGATTCTTCCACACAGCTTTAGGTTCTAATACTCTAAAGTCTGGCAGTACTTGCACTGCTTTGAAACAAATGCAGTATCTCAGCATATTTTTGTCCTCAGGATATCAGGTCTCTGTCAGTGTATGCAATGTTCTCAACCACTTGGCTTCCAGCATCTGCACTGTTCTCAGAAACCTGGATTATCACAGAAACTTCAGTGTTGTCAAGACAAGAACTATCCTAGCCTCTGCAGTGAACTCTAACACATGGGCTCTCCCAGCAACAGCAGTGTTTCCAAACATCTTGACCATTCCAGCATTTGCACTGTTCTCCATACCTGGGCTATTCCCTCATCGTCAGAGACCTCAATCACCTGAAAAAATCCAGCCCTCTCTGTGGCCCACACACCTAAGCCATCACTGAGACCGTGATATTATCAATCGCAGGTGTATCACGGCATCTTCAGTGTTTGAAACATGGCCCTATTCTACCATCTATCTCAAATTTTGTGAATTTCAAATCTCCTACAATGTTTTCCAAAGCTGAAATACACAGCCATAGCAACATTCTACCACTACGT